CAAGAAGGTAGATTATGGTTGAAAATTGCCTTCTGGATTTTTTTTCTACGTTCTCCGAGGAGAGGGAGAGAAAAGAAACATGGCTGAGAAGAGCTTTTTCTGTTTAGGATTTCAAGAAAAGCATCTCCAGGTCTGATTTGATATTCGGTTATCAGTCTGGCGTGCCCTCCAAATCCTGACCTTCAAGCCAGCATAAAAGAACCTGACCGCTTTGCCTCCAGCAGAGCAGAGGCCCCTTAATTTGAAATGAAAACGATTCTTGCATCAAAGGGGAGAGAGACTGGAGTTAAAAATCTAACCATTGTAACTGCAGCAGAGAAAGTCCTTAAGCCCGCTTCTTCAAACATAGCACCTAGAAATGGTACTGATTGCAGAGTGCTTGTCAGTAAGAGGGGAAAGTTATGAAAGGACAACTTTGTTTGGTAGTAGCTGCCTTGCTGTAGTCAAGGCACACACTTTCCACTTTGAATTATGTATTAACTAGTATTGCAGCTTAAGCTGCCTTGAAGAGAAAGCCCTGTTTAGTCAGCTGGGCGAACATACCTGCTACTATTGGGAAGCCATTTTAAAGTCACCTTCGTTAGCTCCAAGAGGTTTTTACGGTGGCCAGCCTGGGGGAAGTGGATGGGATGAAGCCTGGAGGGATTGGGGAGGCCTGGGGAGCTTGGCTGCCATCCCCATTCTGTTTGGCTTTGCTAGAAGTCATGGGCTGGATGCCAGGGAGGAGCACTGAAGCGTGAGGGTGGAGGGCCAGAGGCGAGCCATGGAGCTCGGTGCCCCTCCTCCCCCGCCCCCTCCCTGCTCAAGCCACTCACTAGGGGACAGCAGAGCGGAACAGTGGCACTCGTGGAGCACCTGGGCACTGGCAGGGTTGCTCTGCAGCTTCAAGCACCAGTGATGAGAGAGAGATTGAAGGGCGGACTCCTACTGGTGCAAAGTATTTGAGCATTTCATGAGTTTAGATTTGGAAAATTAGTTGAAAGGTGAAATCTTTTGTTTGTGGAACTGTCTACTTTTGGTTACCTCAAACCCTCCAAAGCTTTGAGAAAGGCCCCTTCAACTCTCCAAACTATAGTAGTCCCTTCTCTCGATGATTCCTCCACCTCCCTTCGGTCGTGCTCAAGGCAGCTGACACTGCCTGCACTCCTCACCTTCGCCTCCCGAAGGCTGCACCCACAATTCTCATGGCAGCTTCTTGGCCTTTGCTGCTTTACCTGCCTCTTAACAGATCTCCTGTACCCCATTCCTAGCCCTCACCCCAAAACGCCACCAGCTCAGCCATCCCGGAGCAGCACTTGTAACCTATTACTGCCTTGCTCCGACATCTCCAGTAATTCTCCATCACCTACCAGATGCAATCCGGGCTCCTTACGTGGGCTCTCAAGACCCTCCACGGCAGCTAGAATTTATCAGGTGTTTCCTGTACAGCAGGCCCTGTTGGAAGTTCTTTAATGTAAATTTCTTATTTCACCCAAGCCTCTCTTGGCCGTCCTTTAAACCCCCCTCACCCGTTCCTATACCTACTCTTGTACTTAAGCCATGCCTCCTCACCTTTGTGCTCTCACCTTTCTACGGAAAAGCTCGAGTTCTCCATGAAACTCCGCCTAGCCCATTCCAGCTCACAGAGATCTCTTTCTTGAAGTTCTCAAACTCTTCTCGTTGGATTCTCTCATCAACATTTAATCATAAACTGTCTTGTACAGGGACTTAATTTTTCAACTTTGTCTTCAAAATGGATAAGCTTCTAGGTGGCAAGGGTGAGCCTGAGATCTCGGGGCACCAAAGCACCATTCTCTGCTCAGAGCAGGTCTTCCGCATTTGCAAATGAATGTTGAAGTGCGATGCGAATCTTCTACTACTGAGCCAAATAGGGAGGCTTATCTTTTGGAACTTGTGTAAAAGCCAATTCAGCAACATCTGAATTCACATTTTTAAGTGATTGGGTATGGAATTAGTCCTATTTCTAAATCCCCAGTGGTAAGCAGAGATAAACTGGAGCTTTATTGTATCAGCCCCTTAAAGACTCCCCTCCCTGCCTCCCCTGAAGGGATGAATGCAAATAGGGCCCCAAACTGGATGCTAATTACAGGCAAATCCTCCCTGGCATAGACTGCCACAAAGGTAAAGACTCTCTTATCTGCCTGATAACACCAGGTCCCTGGCCCTGCAGATCAGAAAAAGAGAGTTTGCTCCCCAGGGGAAGCCATTTAGGGAGCAAAGCCAATTGGCATGGGCAGAGCGCTTATTGTTGTCCTGATGTTGCATCTGGACCTACCGTTCATTTCAGAGGTTCTAACTGACTAAGTGAGGTTGTGCTGAACCAGCCTCGCCTGGGAAACTTCCTGGAGGCAGCAAAGTAGGACAAGCAATAAGCCTATGGGACACTAGAGCCTTAGAAACTAAGCATGAGGTGATCCTGGACCAGCCCCAGGGAAATAAACAGGTGCCCAGAGAAGTTGTGTTGCTCTTATGCTGAGGGCAGAAAGGATCTTTCCAAACTGGCTGCTCCATTCCTTGAGCTTCCAAACAGGTCACCTATAAGCAGCCAGTTGGCTGGATATGACTCACAGACACATTTTGCCTGGCCTACAGAGTAGTTTTTTCCCCTTCAACATTTGAATTAATTGCCAACACTTAAAATTAGGAGATTTCCCGTAAAAAGTCTGCATTTCTGGCTTCTCTTAACAACACAGCACCTGGCCACCCTGGGCCCTCCCTCCACAGGGACATAGTCCTCTAAGTGGGGCATTTGCTCCCCACCAGACATATGCACTCATTTTTGCCCCTGCCCAGCCCCTGGTTGTTTTTCTTACTCTTAAAATTTTGCAGACTGCAGATCTGGGCGGGAGGTAGGATCAGATAGATCCTCAAGTCTCCGGCAACTCTAGGCTCTGGGATGCCTCTGGATGTGGAGGAAGTGGTCCAGGGCTCTGGGAGTCCCTAATGCAGTGGAGACAAGGCATTTTTCATATATCGAAACTCTGATCTCTGAACTTCCCGTCACTGCTCTGCAGCAGTCCCCAACGTTTTTGGAACCAGGGACCGGTTTCACGGAGGGAGGGGGGAGACAGAGCTGGAGACCGCAGCACTAGAAGGGTGGGCTTGTAGAATCCATAGCATGGGCAAACAATGCCACTCTCTGGTTGAGATTAACCGGAGCTAACATTTACTGAGCACTCACTCTCAGCCAGTCTCTTCAAACCTCGTAACAATCCTCCTAACAACCCCATTTCTGGCATGAAGACACTGAGGCTTACTGCCACACAACTAGTGGCAGAACTGGCTGGCTGACTGCAGAGCCCTTCTCTCTCCATCTCTGTGTACTTTTATGAATGAGGGGCTCTAGTAGGGCCCCTGAGGCCGTCTGAAGGTCAAAACACATTCCCATTGTGGATTCAATACTAGTTTGAAAAAAACACACTTAAACCCTATAGCGCATTAATGATTTTCTCAAGCAAAAGTGTGAAATAATTTGATTTTTGCAATGCAAGATGGGAGTGGGTAGAGTAGGTGTGCCTGGAGTCTTTGCTTGCCTGGGACTGAGGAGTGAGTGAGGGTGGGCAGTCCCTAAGGCCCTAAGACTTCTGAGAGGAGCAACTTATAGATTGTAACCCAGGTACGTATAGATTCATCTCAACTTGGGAAGTAATGGAAATTATCTCAGGTGTGTTTGGAGGACATGTAAATTCATTTTTTACTAGTCTTTAATTAGAATTTCTCTTAAAAGTTTTTTTGAGATGTAAAAAGTGTCTTCAGCTGGTTCTACACTTCCTCTAATAGCAACTCCCCTGTCTCAACGATTCCACCCCACCTCACTGCGGTCTAGAACCATGTTTTAGGTACCTGGAATCTACTAGAGATAAGGTCAGTTGGGAATCTAGGGGTCATGCATATCGGAAATAAAGGTGCAAAAAAGGGGAGGAGGAATTGTTTTGGCTTTAAGATACCTGAACCTCCAAGGTTCCTGAAAAACCATTTGCAGCTTTTGCAAACAGCCTTAAAGTCATCAGCGCCCCACTGCGGAATTCAAAGCTAAGCTGTCACAATTGTTAACACCTTCTTTGACCAGCTTTTTTATATTTGACAATTATTCTCTTCTGCTCCTTGCCAGCAGGAAGGTTCTGCTGTCTTGGTTTTAGGGAATCCCATACAGCGAACAGCGCCCTTCGCGAGAAGTCAGGGAAGATTTCTGTGGGCTCGCCCGCTTTGCAGGGTGAGTAGGTTTTGAGGCTTAGAAAGCGGGGCGTGGGGGCGGGGACGGAGAGTAAGAATTTTGGAAGTCCCAACGTGTTATCTTTAAAGTTAATAACCACGCTTCAGGTTCTAGGTTGGGCACAGTGACCACCTCCCCTGGGCAGCTGGCCCCGGGGCGAGCGCTGAGCAGGTCGGCTTTCGGCCCCATTGCGGGAACCCAGTTTCCAAGAGGGCGCAGAGAATGCCAATCTCTGCGAGCCAGAGGAGCCGCGTCCACGCCGGACGCGGCGTCCCCGCCGAGCGCCGGCCCTGGGAGCACTTCGGTCCGAGCTGGTTAGGGGATGCACCCTCGGGGAGCCCTCCCACTCTTGCCAACTTTCCCGGTCCCAGGGCCGGAGGAGGGCGCCTCTCCCGGCGGGGACGCGCTCGGTACTTAAAGGCGGCTCGGCGGGGCCGGCGCTCGTCAGTCTGAGCGCGCGGCGGCGGCGACCGAGGCGGGAGGCGCGGCGGCGGCGAGGAGCGGGAGGAGGGGCATGGAGCCGCCGCGGGCCTGCTGAGCACCGGAGCGCGGGCAGCCGGCGGCACGGTGAGCGCGGGCCCGGCTCGCCGGCCCGCCACCTCGGAGGGGCGGGCTGCACGGGGACCCGCTGAGGACCCGGGAGCGCCGGGTTCCGGGGTTCCTGTGGTCGAGCCCCGGGACCCCTACCAGCTCCCCGCCCTGCGGGCGCCGCGTGCGGCGCTGGGAGGCGGGCTGGGGGCTGCGGCAGCTCCAGGCTTCCCGGCGCAGTTCCTGCAGCCCCCTCCCCACTGACCCCTCCTCCCTTTCTTCCTCACCCTCTCCTCCCCTCCTCCCCCGCAGCTCCTGGTTAGTGAATGAATTAGGAGGCGGACAGTGCGGGGCACGAGGCGTTGGAGTACCCCTCCCCCCAACCTTCCACGCTCGCCCGGGGGTTGGCACCTGTCGGGGCACCGTGATACTTGGCGCCCCCGTTCCTGCGGGTCAGCCGGGCCACGGCAGGCTGTTCTGCGGGCCTGGGCTCCCCTTCCCTTGCCGGCTCGGAGGGACCTGAGGGCTGCAGGGCGCCGGAGAAGGAGCCCCCGCCTCACGCACAAGTTTCCATTCCGCCGCTTGTGGGCCCCGCAGCAGGGCGCACCTGTCAGCGAGACAGACGCTGCAGACCAGGCGGCCCCTCAAAGTTGGGTGTGTGTGGATAGAGTGGCGTGCGTCCTTGGCGGGTTTTCTCCTTTCGTCGTCCGGGGGCCGGTCTTGAGGAGCGCCCCCAACCTCGTGCCCTTGAATCGCGACTGCGCGTTAGGCTGCCTGGGCCGTGTTCCCCTCGGTGAGCAAAGCGTGTGGGGACGAAAGGCGGTCCACGTTTTAGGATCAACCCCCCACCGCCGGCTTGGGGTGACACAGCCCCTGTCTGGGGAGGGGGACCCTCGGCCAGAGCCCAAACCAGCGCCTGACTGCACGTGGGGGGTATCCTGCTGCGGGACTTTCTTGGGTCTTCTAGCGGGGAGGCTGGGGAACCGGGGTAGTGCCTCTAATTCCTGCGGGGGAGGGGTCCCGCCCGGGGAAGGAGGGGACCGGCGACACCGGGGATGCTGCCTTTGTCTGCAGGCACACTTTGCCAAGGTAGCTGGGCCCCCGGAAAGATAAGCAAGGCCTGGTCCAACAGTGATTTCTTGGGTTTTCCGTTCCTTCCCGGCTGGGTCGTGGGAAACCGGCACGTGGGTGTGGCCGGCGCCGCCTTTGCCAAAAGGTGAGGCTCAAGTGGGGGCGAGAAGCGTGGCGAGTGCCTTCCCAGCTGCTTTGACCTGGTGGGCACCGCCTCCGGCACTGCACCGAGGCGGGGCGCCAGCGCCCGGCAGGTTGCTGGGCTGGCCTCCGCACCCCCTGTCCCTTCCCCGAGCGCAGGCGGTCAGCGGCACGTAAGCTCAAGAGGGGGACAGGGCGCTCCAGGGCCGTGGACGCAGGCTTGGGGGCCCTGGGTTCGGGCGCATGCAGCGGGGCGGGGCGGGGGGAGGATCAGGGAGGGCTGGGAGTCCTGCAGAGGAAGCACGCGGCAGGCTCCCGGGGATGGCGGGGCAGAGCGCCGGGAGGCCGTGCTTCCCGGAGAGGCGAGGCTGCCAACAGCTCTTTCCGGACCGAAGCTGCTGGAAGGCTGCTGGTGCCTGAGTCTCAGGCCGATTTAGGCAGTGACTGCGTGTTCTTCACTCCTCCTATGTGAGAGGTGTTCCCTGACAGGAAGGCGTGTTCATGTTGGGGGTTCGATTTCCAGAGACCTAGAGTTGGAGCAAGCTTTGGAAGTGAGATGTTATTGTCTGTAGACCTGGGGTGGAAACGGGGTTCTCCAGGTCAGGCAAATGACAAGGAGAGGAATGGGGAGAAGGCCAGGGTCAGAATGGAGTCCTTGTCAGCCTCTTCTTCCTCCCTACCGACATTCCATATCCCCCTCCCCACTGGCTCTGGTGGAAACCACAATTGGCCTCACCACTTGGGTAGCTCTTCAGGGCTGAAGTGTTTCCATTTTCAGGAAATGATTTGCCTGAGACATGCAGCAAGAAACCATTAGAGTCTCCACTGCACTGATGGGGAGACTAAGTCTCAGAGGCAAGGTCAGGCAGCCAGGAGGTAGTGTAGAGCACGTCTCAAGACCAAGTCTTGGGCTCTTCTCATTCAAACACAGCCAGTTCCAACAGGGCAGACGTTAGGAGCCCTGACTTGGTTGGGAACGGGAACTTGGCTTCGTTAACAGGAGTTGCAGGGCAGGGGAATGAACACACAGATGCCGGGCTGGGGTTCCCCAGGCAGCCACCTCTCACGGCTGCTGCAGTGGTGGCTGCAGTTCCCTCTGGTGCTCTAAAGAGCTGGGCTTCCAGGAAAGCTGTCCGCACCCCAGCTCTCATTTCCCCCTCTTTCTCCTGTCTGCTTTCCCGCCTTCCTTTCCCTCTCTTTCCTGCCTCCCAAGTAAATGAGAAAAAGGTGACACAGCAGGGAACGCAGGGAAAGTTTCTCTTACTGATTTTTGCCTTGAGAAAGGGAAGACTTCACTTCTCCCTCCCCTGTTTCCTGCTGTTTCTTTTTCTCCCCAACTTTCTTCTTGGGCCTTATGGTAGCTGTGCTTTCCTGGTGACTATCCCATCGCAGGACAGGTACAGGGTAGGGAGACACTCTTAGGCCCCTGGCTGCCTCCCCACCCCTCTCTCCCCACTTCCCCTCCCCAGCTGCTGCAGCTCAGGTGCACCCCGCTGAAGCTTACCTCTTAAGAGCTTTGCGACAGGCAGATACCAGTTCTGCCATCTACCTGCCACCAGGTGTCACATAACTCACTCTGGGCTCTGGCTTGTCTCACAATAAATGCCACTCTAAGTGCTTTACACGTTACCCATTTAACCTTCAAAGATGCTGTTAGTATTGCAATCCCCATGAAATAACTAAGAGGTCACAGAGATAGCCAGTGGAGAGCTGGGATGTGAACTCCAGTAGTTTGGCTTCTGAGTCTACAAGTCTTAGTCATGCTCAGTAAGTGGTAATGGTTTTTATTAGGGCTGTTTCCTCTGTTCCAGGCCAGACATAGAGAATGCCCATATTCCCCGACTGGAAATGCTGTCTCCTGCCTGACCCCACATCTCTTGCCTCCTTCTGCCAGATGCCGGTGCAGCTGACAACAGCCCTGCGTGTGGTGGGCACCAGCCTGTTTGCCCTGGCAGTGCTGGGTGGCATCCTGGCAGCCTACGTGACAGGCTACCAGTTCATCCACACAGAGAAGCACTACCTGTCCTTCGGCCTATACGGGGCCATCCTGGGCCTGCACCTGCTCATCCAGAGCCTGTTTGCCTTCCTGGAGCACAGGCGCATGCGGCGGGCCGGCCGGCCACTGAAGCTGCCCTCTCCACGGCGGGGCTCGGTGGCGCTCTGCATTGCTGCGTACCAGGAGGACCCTGACTACTTGCGCAAGTGCCTGCGCTCCGCCCAGCGCATCGCCTTCCCTGACCTCAAGGTGGTCATGGTGGTGGATGGCAATCGCCAGGAGGACGCCTACATGCTGGACATCTTCCATGAGGTGCTAGGTGGCACTGATCAAGCTGGCTTCTTTGTGTGGCGCAGCAACTTCCACGAGGCTGGTGAGGGTGAGACGGAGGCCAGCCTGCAGGAGGGCATGGACCGCGTGCGGGACGTGGTGCGGGCCAGCACCTTCTCGTGCATCATGCAGAAGTGGGGAGGCAAGCGCGAGGTCATGTACACGGCCTTCAAGGCCCTTGGTGATTCGGTGGACTACATCCAGGTAAGGGTGCCTCCCTGGGATGTGTGTACATGGGGACATGTCCAGCCAGCTGGGGATACCATCCTCCAGGAATCTGGGGTGCAATTTAGGTCCCTTGTGTTGCTTACACCCTTCCTCTGCACTGAAGGCAACAAGGCATAATGGTTCTGAACAGCAGTCCTGGGTTGGAATCCTGGTTCTGCTGTTACGTAGCTCTGTGACCCTGGGCAGAGCTCTAATTGCTGTCCCAGTGATAACAGACAGGTGCACAGCATTCGCCTCACACCAGGCACACATGTAGGCACTTCAAACATCAGCTCTTTTAATCCTCAGGACACTCCTAGGGGGTAAGTACTGTTGTTATTTCCGCTCACAGAAGGGGAAACCGAAGCACAGAGGGGTTAAGTAACTTGCCTGATGTCACACTGCTAGAAAGGTGCAGAGCCAGGATCGAGCCCAGGTGGCCTACACCAAGTCCACTCTTGTCCGTGGTGCAATCCTGCCTCGCCCCGGACAACATGGGATGAACCTCTTCATAAGGAAATACGGTGAACAGCAAAAGAAATCAGGCTCAAAAGCACTCAATGTTTTAGTTACAGGCCAAAAAGTCCCCCTCTTCCTAGTGTCAAAATCACGTCTGTGAGGTGGAAGATGGAGGGACAAGGCATGAATGACCTACCAGCTTCACTTTGCAGCAACATTGGCAGGGCTGGGACCCCGAACAAACCCTGCCCAGCTTCTGGTCAGGGTGGTCACTGACATGTGCCTGGACATTTTATTAGGTTGACATGGTTAACGCGGCTTCAGTTTTCAACTAACGAAACTTACAACTGAGAAGATGAAAGCTCACACATTTCAGTATAAAATTCAATATGCATTTCAGTAGAAACTAAGACCCAGGATCCCAGATTTCTGGTCCAGAATTCTTCACAGCATCTACACGGCCGTTGTCTCTGCCCTTCTTCACACCTGCCAGGGAGGGTTTTGCCCATCACTTGATAAATGCTTGAAAGAACAGTGGCTGTTCTGGTAGCCCACCTGTGCACCAGCTCAGTCTCACTAACATCATGTCGAGTCCTCTAACGTCATTTACAGTTTCTGTAGTGTAGCCACCTAAAATTAGCTTGCCTAGATTTGGGAGTTGGTGGCTTTTTTGAAAGTTGTATTTGTGTGAGAGTTAATACCCTTACCTTTTTCTGTCTTCCTAAGCCCAAGGACCTCCTCAGCTAGGTAGGGAGGGATGAGAGCCTAGAGGGCTGTTTGATTTTACAGTTCACTTGGGGTTGTGGGGCCTCTGTGAAACTTTCCTGGGGACCCAAATGCTTAGGAAAAAAAATCCTTTGAGCCCCTGGCACATGCTCAAGCCTTGAAGTGAGCATGTGACTTTGTCATCTACTCCCTTGAAGCACAGGATCCCCCAAAACCTAATCTGCCACACATCTGCCTTTCCTTGTCATCTCTTGTGTGTGCCGGTGGAGCAGCAAACAGGCTCACACACCTGAGCCAGGCCTTTCTCTTTATGGCCCTGGGATCCTGCCTAAGGCAGCCCTGGGCTACAGCCAGTGAATGCTTGATGGATTTCAGCCTGTCTTCCAACAGCCCTGCGGAGGGTGTGTGCCTTGCCCTCTGTGGGAGAGAACCTTGCTCTAGCCAGTGGGGGTACCCAGGCAGCATAAGAGCTCTTCCTTCCCCAGGCCTCCTCCACTAGAAAGGCCTGTCTGGAGTGAAGGAAGCAAAGCAGCATATGAAGAATGGGTGAGGAGTTGGGACAGGAAGTGGCACTGAGACCAGAGCACTGGGAAGCTTCGCCTGTAAGCTGAGAAGGGTCCCTGGGCCCTTCCCAGGCATGGACCGGGACATGAAGACATGTCTCGTGGGGCGATAGGGAGCACATGTGAGGAACCCAGCCTGGCGCTGATGGCTGTGCCTGACTTCCCCGTAGCCTTCTATTGCTGCTTGTCTGTGACTACCCTGTCTTCTAACATGGAGAGAGAAAGTGGGGTAGAGTTGGAGGCAGTCTCCTTCCTCCAGGCTCTTACTCAGCAACTTTAGTAAAAGGATTTTAGGCTTCTGCAGAACAGGGTTTTCTGGATAATGTCCTCTGCTCTGAGAATAGTGACCATAGAGCTCAATCAGGGGTCTGTAAGCCACCCCGCCCCCATAGTTATCTAGATTCTTTGTACTACTTCAGGTAATTTTTTAGAAAACAGAGTTCATCAACAAAAAAGACAGCCACCAGGGTAAGCATTCATAGCCCAGGTTCAACCGATAATGGGATCACCTGTTAGGATCGGACTATGAGCCTTGGGGCTGACTGGAGGCAGCTGCTGCCAGTGTCCGTGCCCACTGAGGGTAGATTCCAGGCAAGGGCAGTGCTGGGCACACTGCCCTGGCCTTAGTTGGCCAAGGGAGTGAGTATGGAGGGTGCACAGAAGTCCTGGCAGCCATGCTGTGGTCTCACAGAGGTGCCTGTGAGTAGGTAGAGTCTCACCACTGGGCCTGCAGGTTGTCCTAGAGGCCAGAGGCTGAAATGGGGACCCTGTTGTTAACAACCCTATGGGACAGCCAGTGGCCTCAGGCAGTGGCCTCTGACAGGAGCCATTTCTTGGCCTTCTGAGGAGCGTCTGCGAGCCCTGGTCTAGCCTACTGTGCCTGTCATCTGATTGCAGTGATTTGGTCCCCCTTGCCCAAGGACTGCAGAGAAATATTTTGAGATCATTTCTGTGGAGCTTGGCTCTGTAGAGGCTAAACACTTGCCCGGTGCCAAGCACTTTTCCATTTCCAGGCCCAGCATCTGTCTTCTGGGTTTCTCTCTCTGAGCCTAGTGGCTGTCAAGCCTGGTATTGGAACTCTTCTTTTCCCTACTTTCCTGTTTTTCTTCTGGCCCCTTCTGTTTGGCACAGATCTTCTGCTCGTGGCTAGAAGTGAGTCATGTAAGAGGGGTTTATGTCACTTAATGCACAGCCTAGTGGTGGCGGGTGTGTGTCAAAATCACGTCTGTGAGGTGGAAGATGGAGGGACAAGGAATGAATGACCTACCAGCTTCACTTTGCAGCAACATTGGCAGGGCTGGGACCCCGAACAAACCCTGCCCAGCTTCTGGTCAAGGTGGTCACTGACATGTGCCTGGACATTTTATTAGGTTGACATGGTCAACGCGGCTTCAGTTTTCAACTAACGAAACTTAGAACTGAGAAGATTAAAGCTCACACATTTCAGTACAAAATTCAATATACATTTCAGTAGAAACTAAGACCCAAGACCCCAGATTTCTGGTCCAGAATTTTTCACAGCATCTACACGGCCGTGCAGGCCTGAGGTCTAAATGGGCTGATGGTGTACCACTCCCTCTGCAGGTGTGTGACTCCGACACTGTGCTGGATCCAGCCTGCACCATCGAGATGCTTCGAGTCCTGGAGGAGGATCCCCAAGTTGGGGGAGTTGGCGGAGATGTCCAAGTAAGAAGTGACCAGGGATTCCTGGGGGTAGGGGTCTGAACTCTTCCTGCTTCCTAATCTGACAGGGATATGCTTGGGAAATGGGTATCTTGTCTTCCTAGTATTTGGGGGAAGGTTTCCCTTGGTTTTCACTGGTATCAAAGGGCTCCCCTCATTTGCCACCTAACCCCTTCCCTACTTTTTCCATATGCGGGGTGGGGAGGATCAATAGGTATGGATAGAGCCTATAGTGCAGGGAGGGGCAGAGCATTTTAAGGCCATAGATCCTACAGGGTACTTCCTTTCTGGCCGCTCTTCCATCTGAACACAACCAGAGGTGGTGAGAGAAGTTCTACTGAGGGGTCTGGGCCAGCTAGTGTCCTTCCCCACCTCACACCCCCAACAACTAGTCATCAATGCAATAAGATTGTGCCTGAGATACAAGACAACAGTAGCTCCAAACTTAGACCCTTGGGAAGCCCTTGCTCTTAGGGGATGGGATGAAGAGCTCTGGGCAGTATGGTAAGAAGAAGAGGCCAGGTCTTCCAGAGGATGCTGCAGACAATGTACCATGTCTTCCCTGGAAGCTTTCCAACAGTACGGGGGTCAGGACACGTGGCTGGGGTAGTGTTCTGCATCTTTCTTAAGCCTTTTTCTCTGCCACCACCATTAGCTGCCTCCTGAAACCAAAGATGGTTTTGACTGCTAGAGAAACTCAGCTGGGAAAATCAGTGCACATGACACAGTGGGGAAATGGAACGGGTGCTGGCGACAGTGAGTACGTGTGTGGTTAGCTCCTCTGAGCCTCAGGTTTCCCACCTCCAGCAGGGCTAGAACTGATGGTCAGGAATTTGAGCAATGGGCCACAGAACCCAGGGTAGGGAGGCCTCAAGGTCTCTGGCATCTGTCTCCTCTGGGGCTTATACCCTCAGGTAAGGAGGCCCAGCATCTCTATTCCCTTGCAGATCCTCAACAAGTACGATTCGTGGATTTCCTTCCTGAGCAGCGTGCGGTACTGGATGGCCTTCAACGTGGAGCGGGCCTGCCAATCCTACTTTGGCTGTGTGCAGTGTATTAGTGGGCCCTTGGGCATGTACCGCAACAGTCTCCTCCAGCAATTCCTGGAGGACTGGTACCATCAGAAGTTCCTAGGCAGCAAGTGCAGCTTTGGGGATGACCGGCACCTCACCAACCGAGTTCTGAGCCTTGGCTACCGAACTAAGTACACAGCACGCTCCAAGTGCCTCACAGAGACCCCTACTAAGTACCTCCGGTGGCTCAACCAGCAGACACGCTGGAGCAAGTCTTACTTCCGGGAGTGGCTCTACAACTCTCTCTGGTTCCATAAGCATCACCTCTGGATGACCTACGAATCAGTGGTCACAGGTTTCTTCCCCTTCTTCCTCATTGCCACGGTCATACAGCTCTTCTACCGTGGCCGCATCTGGAACATCCTCCTCTTCCTGCTGACGGTGCAGCTGGTGGGCATTATCAAGGCTACCTATGCCTGCTTCCTACGAGGCAACGCAGAGATGATCTTCATGTCCCTCTACTCCCTTCTCTACATGTCCAGCCTCCTGCCAGCCAAGATCTTTGCCATTGCTACTATCAACAAGTCTGGCTGGGGCACCTCTGGCCGAAAAACCATTGTGGTGAACTTTATTGGCCTCATCCCTGTGTCCATATGGGTGGCAGTTCTTCTGGGGGGGCTGGCGTATACAGCTTACTGCCAGGACCTGTTCAGCGAGACGGAGCTAGCCTTCCTTGTCTCCGGGGCTATCCTGTATGGCTGCTACTGGGTGGCCCTCCTCATGTTGTATCTGGCCATCATTGCCCGGAGATGTGGGAAGAAGCCAGAGCAGTATAGCTTGGCTTTTGCTGAGGTGTGACATAGCCCCCAATCAGAGCGGGAAAAGTGCAATGGGTAAGGGAGGGAAGGGGAAAGAAAGTGAAAAGATGGGGTGGGGGAGGGAGGAGGGAGTGTTGTGTTTTAATTTCTTAATGGTCCAAAGGACAAACCTAAAATGCAAAGAATGGTGACTGTAGTATGGCCTGGGCAGCTCTACTTAGAGGAAGCAACACTGAATTCTCAGGCTCAGGGCAGAGGGGGCTTATATGTTTTCAGGCTGCCTGTCTGCTTGCATCTGCACATAAGCAGTGGCCTCTGGGAAAGGTTCTACTTCTACTGGGATCCAGAGGAAACTCAGAAGTGTGCTAAACCAAACAAGTTTGATTCAGTGTCAATTTCTGATAGGTATGTGAGCAGTGGCAGCCTGTGGGAAGAGGTTCTCCTAGCCAATCTGAATGCAACCAGAGGTGGTGAGAGAATTTCTACTGAGAGGTCTGGGTCAGCTAGTGTCCCCTCTCCCCCCAGTCATCAATGCAATAAGATTGCGCCTGAGATACAAGGCTCCAGAGCCTGATCTTTGGGCATCAGAAAACAGGGTCCAGGAATGGTGCTTTATGTGATGTACCCCACTCCACATCTCAACATCCCAGGGATGAACCAAACCAGCAGACAGTTAGCAGGGAACTGCTTTTAAAAGTACGTATTAAAAAGGAAAGTTTGCCAGGAAGAACAAAGAGGTGGTGCTAAAGGCCATGGGCATTATGGAGGCCTTGGGTATTCCACCTGGAAATTGCTCAGACTTCTAGATGGATTCTTAGCTTGTCTGTGATCTCTGCTGGAGAGATAAACTGTTTTAGCCATCCATCAGGAAGATTAAACCCCAACATGTTTAAAAAGGAAGTGAGGTCTTAAGTATTTTGACCTGTATACTCCTGAATTCCCCTCAAATTCAGCTCTGATTTGAGGCAAAGAGATCCTCCTCACTTCACTTTCTTCAAAGGCACATTTTTTTTTTTTTTTGGTTTAACTGCAGTCACCTCTTCCACCCTTGTCATCATGGGTAAGTTTTTCAAGGTGGCAACTGGAGCAGAGCCTGGGCTCTTACAAGACCCTCTGCTCTCAGCGCATACGGGAACTGCTAAGAGCTTCTGATCAAATTGGCTACAGTCTTGGAGCTGTTTGGACAGATTCCTTGGCAGCCGAGTTAGCATCATGACTTTCAGGATACTGTTCTTGACAATCATCTCCAATGGAAAGCTTTTCAGTGCTTCCAGACTGAACCCTCAAATTCAAGCTAGTTATCTTTGAGGCTGTCCATTCTCCTCGGTGGCTACTGCAGGGAATTCTACAGCCAGGTTGCAGATAGTCACTCCGTTTGCAAGCTTCTTTCTAGAAACCAAACTAGGAGATGGAATTGGTTCATACAACCTAAGGTTCTTGCTTTTTCATGTCTATTGAAGCTGTTTGATTTCCCCCTGCTACTTTTGGAGAGTGAGGGGAAAAGCCATTTTCCAGTGACTTGCAACCCACAGACTTCTCAGCATTCAAGTTTAAAACCTGGGATCTTGACTAAGCCTCTGACTTAAGGATTGCTTGCTCACTCTCTCGAAACGTCCACTTTCAGAGGGGCCAGCTAAGCCCTCAGAACCAGCACCAAGGTGGAGAGCAGTTGAGGGGGCAAGCCTCCAGCGTACCCAGGTGCTTCCAACAAAGAAACAAAGTGTGCTCTGAGCCACAGATGGGCAAACCCTGGTGCCTTCCTTCATCTCCCCTGAACTCAAGGGTTTTCCAGGTGTAGCCAGCAGTTGCTTTTAAGACTGATGGTTGATGTCAGACCCAACCCATGAAGGCTGGGCGACAACAGGCATTTGCTAAGGGCAGTTCTGCTGGCCAAGAAGCAAACTATTTTGAGCACTATAATGGAGGAAATCCTGTCAGCCAACTGCAGAGCTCAGACTTCACTAAGGGCTTGTTTTTCTTCAGCTTTTACTTGAAAGTTAATGTAGGATGATGGACTCTGGATGGAGAACTCCTGGCTGTCCTACCATCAGCTCTGCCTTGCACTGTGGTCATCAACTTTCCTCTCAGATCAAAAGTAGGCAGGTACAGGTAGTGGGCTCACAACGTTTGACCTCGACTGGTTTTTCTAAGTTATTTTGTACGTTTTTCAGCAGCAAAACCAAACTGGGTCTTCAGCTTTATCCCCGTTTCTTGCAAGGGAAGAGCCTTTATACAACTGGACGCATTTTGGTTTTTCCTCATTGAGAATTTTAATCCTCTTTTGTATTGTTTCTACAATTTGTAAACATATTTATTTTTACTTTTTTTTTTTTTTTTTTACTTTTCAGGTCAAATTTTTTATACTGCACTTATTTGTCAAAATAAAGATTCTCACATAACGCTGGTATCTGAGCTACCTCCTTTGTGCTTAATGAAAGCTAGCTCTTTATTCCAGTTCCAAAAGAGGGACTTGAGGGAGAAACAGTTTTGTCAATGGGACTTGAAAGTAAGAAAAGTTGTCACAGCTGCGTCTGGACTGGGGGATACAGGAGGCCCACCCTGATACCTGCATACTCATGTCGGTTTAACTTTTATTGTACAGGCAGAGTCTTTGGTGACATAACTGGCAGATGAGAACGCCCTTGCTAAGGCTAAAAACCAAAGCTTGCTTCCTCCTGGAGTAAAAGCATTTGAACTGGCAGATAAAGTAAGACCGCGGCCAAGCTGAAACAATGAAAAGCAGAGTAAACTTCCTTCCCTACAGAACAGGTAACAAAATAGAGCGACATCAGCAGCCCTCTCATCCCATTTATTAAAGAAACAGTAAGAAAAGATACAATGCAGGAAAAACACCAACCATCCTTTTATGTCAAGGCTGAACGAAGCACAGTGATTTCTTCCCTTCATCCCCCACCCCCACCCCAATTCCCATATTTCCATCCACATCAGTTTAAATTTTGAGGTTCTTTGATTGGGAGTACCAGTGGAGAGGGAGTTGGATGAGTAGAGGAGCCTTAAATCTGGCCGTCTCTTAAGTCCCAGGAGAAGGGAGCTGCAGGCCCAGTCAGTCAAGCAGAAACTGCATTTGGTGGGTCTTTAAAGTGGTTGTCCACCTCCCTGTTCTGTGTGCAGGCCCCCAGGGAAAGGTATGGCAGTAGAGGATGACCAGGTCCAAGCTGCCCAGGTCAGAGCTACCGAAGCATGGTCCGTTCACCAATGCAACATTTCTAGAGAGCAGTGAGCTGATTCTCCAGTGCCGAGCAGGGGACTACATATGAATTGGGACCTGCAGGCCCATGTATCCCTGAGGAAAAGTCCACAAGAACAATTCAAGAAACTAGTAAGAAACAAGGGGCAGAAAGCTGTGGGACAAAAGCACAGCAGGCTTCTGGAAGGCTGGAGATCCTTTTTCACAAGGCTAGGATTAGTCCCACCTGCCGCAGTCCACGTCCCACAAATAACATTTCACCTTCAGTCAAGAAAAAAGCAGAGGAAAAAGATGGCTCATTTGAACTTGAGCCCCAGCTATGTTGTTCAGACTGTAGCTCCGTATCTACCCTTTTACCTAACAGACAGCCCCTGCCCAGAACCACAGTGCCTGAAAACCAAGGTGGTCCTGGAGGGAAAACAGTGTTTATGGGGGTAACATTCCATTTGGGTACATTGCAGCCATTGGACCCCCTGGTCTGGGGAAAGCAGCTGGGTTTGTGCCAGGGAGGCTCCCCACTCTAGGAAACGGGACCAAACTCTTGCCTGCAGGGCCATTCATCCTTGAAAAGGAAGATGGGTTGAGACCCAGGGTCCCAGTTGGCCTTGCAAAAGGAGCTGGGTTGATACCCACAGGGCCTGCTGGAGAAGTGCCCAGGTGCCCAGCAGCTGACCTAGGGAAAGCAACTTGACCAGGGCCTAATGGGCCAGTAGACCTTGGGAAAGTAGCTGGACTTGGACCCTGCAGGCCAGTGGCCCTTGGGAAGTTAGTTGGGTTGGGGCCTAGTGGCCCAGAGGCTCTTGGGAAAACTGCTGGACTTGAGCCCTGGAGGCTAGCAGACCTTTGGAAGGTAGCTGGGTTTGATGCCAATGTGCCAGAAGACTGAGAGAAGGCAGTTGGGTTCAGTCCCCCAGAACCTACCCCCCTCGGAAAGGGATTGGCATTTACCCCCATAGGGCCAGGTGGCCTTGAGAAATGACCTGAATTAGGGCCTATAGGGCCAGGGCCCCTTGACATGGGAGAAGGATTTGGCCCTGGAAGGCCAATTCCCCGAGAGCCTGGACCCGAGTTTGGGCCTATGGGGCCAGGTACTCTTGCCATGGAAGACGGGTTTGTGCCCATGTTTCCAGAAGCCTGTGAGAAAGAAGCTGAACTGGCTCCTAAAAGACCTGCTGCTCTTAGAATGGGGGCAAGATCTAGGCCTTGAGGTCCAGCCATTCTTAAATTAAGACCAGATCCTGTACCCAAGAGGCCACCTGCTCTGGCATCCAGATTAGGGCCTGGGCCCAGGCCACCCGCCCTTGGGTTAGGCCCAAGACCTGGACCTAGGCCACTTGATCTTGGGTTGGGCCCAAGGCCTGGGCCTGGAAACATACCTGACCTGGGGGCAGGGTTTGTACCTAAAAAGCCTGATCTCATACTGGGACTTGGTCCGGGGCCCAGGCCAACTGGCCTAGGATTGGGAGGACCATTCCCAGAGGTCAATAGGACACCTGTTCTCAGGTTGGGTCCAGATCCAGGGCCCATAGGGCCGCCACTTCTGGGATCAGGACCTGCTCCCAGGAGACCACCTGCCCTTGCATTGGGCATAGGACCTGGGCCCGGGAGACCTCCTAACCTGGGGTTAGACAAAGGCCCTGGACCTGGAAGAGCCCCTGTTCTAGGGTTTAGAGCTGGGCCAGGGCCCGGGCCTGGGCATGGGCCGGGGCCCGGGCCCAGAAGGCCACCTGGCCTTGGGAAAGAAACTGCACCTGTGCCAGTGGGATTCATCCCTCTTGGAAAAGAAGCCATGCCTGGGTCACGAGCACCAGCAGGGAAAGGTGCTGGATTTGAAGCCAGTGAGCCTGATGAAGTTGGAAAAGGAGATGGGTTCCTTGGAAATGGGGCCAGATTTCCACCAAGAGAACCGGCTGCCATGAGAAAGGGATCCGAGTTCACACCCAGTGGGTGGCCTGTGTTCAGAACAGGACCCCCCTGTGGTCCCAGGGAACCGTCGAGCCGTCCTCGAGGTGGCAGTGAAGCACGAGTCCAAGGAGTAGGCCGCTCTCTAGGGAAAATCCGGGGTTCTTTCATACTTTCTTGGGGACGTTGGTGATAATGGGCTTGGGGCGGGTTTTGAAAAGGATCTTGTTTTTGATGAGTGCTGTCACCAGGTACCGGGTGCCAGTCTCTCGGCCAAGCTCATCACAGTCCTGCTCCCCAGGAGTGTGTTTGACAAGAACTGCAAAAGGTTTCTCCAGGTGGATGATTTTCCCATACAGGATATGATGCCCCACGATCAGCACAGGGATTCCCTTTGGCAGAACAAGAACGAGATGCCTGAGGTTCAGGGCAAGGCCGTAACACTCACGTGCCTTATAAAGCTGCTCTTGGCAGGCAATGCTGGCACCTCCACTCCCTGGTCTGGCTCTAACCTTTCTGAGCAGCCACACTGGACAACCCCACCCATGTGTCCTTTTTACTCTTTCTAGCCCCATGTAAGAGAATTTCCACTTCCAGAAATGTGACCTTTCCACATTTCTCAAAGTTCGATTTCCCTGTTACTGCAGAGGTGGGGGAGAACAAGCAGATAGCTTCGCAGATTAGCTAGACCTTGAATAACAAACCTGAGGGCAGTCCTCACTCTGGGTCCTGGGAGCACCACCTTGGTGTAGCTTGCTTTTCTGAGGCATTAGGCAGGGAAAGAAAAGCCCCCTCACCTCAGTGGTGTAATGTAGGTCTCCCAGGAGGTTTCCAGCTAATCCGGTGCTGTAGCGAGCCTCGATCTCCCCCTGTAGCTCCATCAGCACCCATTCTGCCAGGCCTCCAGCCCCCGCACTGCAAGCAAAGGGCTGGTGGTTACAATATTTTTGAGGGGTGAAGGATGAGTAGTGTCCTACACCACCATTCAAGGCCCAAAGGAACTTCGTGTTGAATGTAAGTTCTTGGGAAACTGGGCAGTGCTAGGCACTGAACTAGAGATCAAAATGCAAGGATTTGTGCAAGATGCACCTGAGGACCCTGATTCTTCCAAGAAAATGTCAAAGCTATATACCCCTAATTATTTCACACTAAATTAAAAAATCTCAAAATGTACTCACCTAGAAATAACAATTTGCACCATGAGCTTTCTGTCTTTAAAAAGCAACTGAAAATAAGCTGTAGAGAAAAAGAAAAAAAAACACGATTTAGGATAATCATAATGACAACTAATATTTATCACTTCCTGGGTGCTAAGTACTTTTCTCAGTGCTTTATTCCCCTAACACCACCATATGGTGCAAGTTTTATTTTACAGATATACATTTAAGGTTTCTTAAGATCTTAGCTAGCTGCTTAAGATCAACTGTCGCAAAGAAAAGTAACAGGTATCATAATTGTGTCCAACGTCACATAGCTACTAAGTCAAAGAGGATGTGAACCCAAGACTCACACTGAAGAGACCATACTTTTTTTTTTTTTTTTTTGAGACAGAGTCTCACTCTGTTGCTCTGGCTAGAGTGAGTGCCGTGGCATTAGCCTAGCTCACAGCAACCTCAAACTCCTGGGTTCAAGCAATCCTACTGCCTCAGCCTCCCGAGTAGCTGGGACTACAGGCATGCGCCACCATGCCCGGCTAATTTTTTCTATATATTTTTAGTTGTCCAGATCATTTCTTTCTATTTTTAGTAGAGACGGGGTCTCGCTCTCTCTCAGGCTGGTCTCGAACTCCTGAGCTCAAACAATCCGCCCGCCTCAGCCTCCCAGAGTGCTAGGATTACAGGCGTGAGCCACCGCGCCCGGCCGAGACCATGCTCTTTAATTTGCCTTTCTCAAGGATATCCTATTTTCTGTCCTGCATATGGCTAAAAAACTAAGGAATTCTTTTAGATTTTACTTTTTTCTTTGTTAATGACTTTTGAGTCCACCACTTTGGTTATCTCGTTGTCTCTTGGTTCAAAGGGCCTCCCTTTAACCTAAAAAAAAGCCAAAAGAACTAGAAAAGTCCTTTGGACTTTAGCAAATGGCAAGCTGACTTCTGATGTGACTCTCACTAAAAGTTCTGATCTTTCACTTCAATACCCCAACACTTCAAATACTTTGATTTGCTACAACAGCACCACCTGGTGGCAAGTTTGGAGTACTTTACAAGAAGGGACTAGAGTGGGACATTTTTGCCTGAAGACAAGTGGCTCCCCTTATACTTGTGTCTTCCTGGGAAGGACAGATTCAGGGTAGTTTTA